ATGCCATACTTAGAATTTATGACAATGACCTGCCATATTTTTCAGTACTGAAACAATGGCCTCCTGTACCTTTAATTATATGATACATCAGCCTGCCATACATTTTAATTGAGCAATATGACCTGTTACACATCAGTATTTATAAGAAGCGACTAACTGCCATGCTTAGAATTTAATGACAATGGCCTGCCATACTTTTCAGTTCTGACACAATGGCCTACTATACATTAATTATGATACAACAGCCTGCCATATAAGGTTTATAATATGATGCAACAACCTGCCATGTTTTTAAATGACACAATGGCCTGCCATATAATTATGATGCAAGTACTTTTGAACAGTTTCTAATTTTTATATATTTTTTACAAACTTTATGGCCCCAATTCAGCTCCATATCTGAGTGGATCAGGACCGGATTAAAGTCCACACTAGATTAGTCCAAGCAGATTATTGTGAAGGAAATGAAAATGTTTAGTTTCTTCAGATTGAGGTTCAGGTGAGACGGTTCTGTTTCAGATTAAAGATAAATTATCTCAAACTGAAGGAATGAAAATTAAATATTTTCTCTTTTTTCAAACAATCAGTGCAAAAATTCAAAGAATGTAAGAAGTTTGATTAAATTCAACGTTACTTTGAGACCGTCTCACCTGAACCGAGTCAGAACCTTTAAACAAGCAGCCAATCAGAGGCCGGGTCTGAGAGCAGAACCCTGACGCCTCAGAACTCCAGGATGACCCGGAAGTGGTTCTGGATGGAGGGGGGCTCGTCCTGGAAGTGCAGCTTCTTGCTGGGACACGCCCCCAGCTCCTCCAGGGTCTGGATGAAGAGTGCYTGCTCGCGGCCCACCCAGGCCCGCATGGGGTCCCGCACCTCGTAGGGGGTCACGTGGGCGTGGACCGACACCCCGCTGGAGGCCAGCTCCTTCAGCGCCGCCCGGTCCGTCACCCAGGTCTCGCTGCCGCCCGGGTGGCCCCCGTCCAGCCAGAACATGTCCGAGACCCGCTCCACGAAGGGGGACATGTGCGGGTCGGCGCGGGCCCCGGCGAGCTCGTAGACCATCTGGTTCAGGACCACGCAGCCTTTACTAAAACCCACCAGGACCAGGGAGAAGCCAGGAGGGGGGCCGGCGCCTCCTGCTGGACGCAGCGGGTTCTGCAGCTTGGCCCGCTCCATCCCGTTACTCAGCAGGGTTCTGTTGGCAGAGATGGTTCTGACTGAGTGGATTAACATTAAAATAATCTAATCCAGATTAAATGAGCCAACCTGAGCTGCTGGAAGGCTCCACACTCAGAGTACCCAGAATGCTCCGGGGCGCCGAACACGCTGCTGTCCACGAAGTTCTGGTAGCAGCTGAACTTGTGCAGGTAGAGGCGGGACGCCCGCACCACCCACACGTACCGGTCCGGGAACCGGCGGCCCAGGATCAGGGCCACCTGCTCCAGACTCCAGGTGAGCCACTGGGCGGCCTCGGGCTGCAGGCTCATCTCCTCGTGGAAGTTCTAAAACAGAGGTCAAAGGTCACGGCTTCCCTTCAAACTGAGCCGTTTCCTGTCTAAACAGGAAGTGAAACCTGTCTGCCATGACCCTTAAAGCCATCTTTAACATCTATGACTTTTATTGTGAAAAACCGGGCACTTTGGTTGGTTAATTACAAAATAAAAGTCCTGCATAGCTATGATGGAGCGTTAAAAATGTCCCTTCAGGGCCTCCGTAGAAACATGAAAACCAGCTCACCTGAGCCCGAGGCTCACCTGGATGTCTCCGTGGAAGAACAGCACGTGTTTGTCCTGGTCTCCGTCGGTGTCGGGCCGCAGCAGCAGCAGGTCGTTGGCTCGGTTCGGGGCGCAGCCCGGGACCCCGAGCAGCCTCTGCAGCCTCCTCCGGCCGGGGCTCCCCGCCGCGGAGCCCGGCAGCCCACAGGGGCTCGCCGCCGCCACGGAGCTCATGGGCTCGGCCAGAGTGATGAACGTGAAGCCCGCAGTCACGGCTCGGAACACAAACATGGACTGTGAAGTGGGTTCCCCTCTCCTGCTGCGCTACATGCTGCTGCAGCTAACGCGATGCTAACTGTTTCCGCTAACACACTGAACTCTGATTAACGAAGAATATTTATCATCACGCGCCTCTCCAGACTGTTTACTGACGTCACATCGTGGCTAATTATATAAAAAAGACGCGTCATGCTACATGCGTGTCAACTACGACAGTTTGTTGTTAGTTTTCGGCCACTAGGAGGCGCAGTGTAGTTTTAAACAGCCACTTCCTGTTTTTGCTTTCTAATCCCGGAATCAAAGATTATTGAGCAACGGCGCACGGAAGATGATACCCGAACATTTACTTCCGCTTTTGGTTTGTCGATCAACCACACCGCTGTTTGAGCCTAATTTAAAATAATGGATACGACGAAGCGTGTTTTCTTAGTTAAAAAATCTATATAATAAAGAATAACTCCATTCTTTTTATTCTTTAGTTGTAATCAGAAAATATTAAATTGGCTTACACATTTTTATTATTAGTTTGATTTCAAAATAAATTAGAACAGAGTAACCCTGAACTGAACTAACCTGTATACAAATAAACACGTATTTATATAACCATCTGTTTAGACTTTCATTCTGGTGCTAATTAAAACAGGTTTATTAAAATTATAATTTATTTTGATAATAATAATAATAATAATTCTTATATGGAGCTGTTTGAGATCCCTAGACGCTTTTAAATTTCCTGCATCATTTATTCACACGCCAATGATTATATAAATACACATAAATTATAATTATAAAAATAAAAACCAAAAGTATGAATGTGTCTAAACACAAAAATGAGGGATTTAAAATAATAACAAAAAATAGGCTGAAATTAAAGTCGTGTCAGAGGAGATATTTCTTATTTATAATCTGAAAAGCATTTTTATGATTTCCAGAACAGATCCAGTAGGTTTATTAAATAATCATGAACTGATAAATAAACCTAACTTTTCTTGGTGTGTCCAGCAGGGGGCAGTGTTATATTTAATGATGAAAGCTGCCTTTAAAAAGCGGAGGGAACCATCTTGTGTTGATGGTTTTAAACTGCAGCTGAGCAAACAGAGATAATGTTCATGTCTGACTTTTCTCTGGACCTGTGAGCTGTTCTGGATGAACACATGGCTGCACGTGTCTCTGACCTGCTTTTCTGGTTCTGGTGTTACAGATAAACGGGTCCAGTTTCCTCCAGGCACGACTTTGAACCAGTTCAGTAACTGTTTGTTTTTACAGATAAATTTGGAGCAAAATCAGTCTAATATGTGCGCTGGCTTGGATTCATTCAAGGTAAACAACTCTGAAGACTAATTTTCATTGGAGATAATAATAAAGCCAACATTTTTATTTAAAAGTAATTAAATTAACAAATAGTTCTGTTGTTCCACAAAATCAGGAGTTATTATAAGAGCAGTAAAAAGTTTACTGTAACTTATTTTAAATTACTCCGTTTTTATAAATATATATCTTTACAGAGAAGCACATATTGTGCACAAATACAGGTTAAAGTCTTGTGAAGATTTTCATGTTTTCATGAGGATATTTTAATAATGAACCAATCAGAGCCCGGCCCTGCTGCCTGCAGGACCTCAGAGGGCCACTAGATGTCACTACATCCTGAAAACTGGTTCTTTAAGTTCCATCAGAGAAACCTTCACCGTCCACCTGACAGGTTGGTACATTAGTGCTCATATTTATATCTAATCTGCACGTTTCAGTCATTAGATAAACGTGTTTTTGTCTTTTTAGAAACATGAGCTCCACTGCTCTGGGCCGACGCCTGGTGGCGTGTCTTCTCAATGTTTCTGAGGCTCGCAGGAAAGACGTGGTGGAGAGCGTGGCCAGAGCAGCTTTACTCAACTCCCAGGGTGAGTTTCATTAACTCGTCTGTGAATCATCACACCGATCGAACCCAGATTATCAGACCAAACCACTTAGATCCTGCATGATGGCAATATATGGGATTAAACTCACGTTATTTAAAGGAAAGTACACAGAGACACAAGTAATCAGAAAACTAGAAGTTAGTAAACGTTGGATTATTGTTCAGGTGTTAAACAGGAGGACACCACAGTGCTGAACATCTTTAATGATCACGACTACAACCGCTCCGTCATCACCATCGTGGCCTCCATTGACTCCATCAGTAAGTGGCTCGATTGATTCCTCCATCATGAACTCAGGTGCTTCTCTTCAAACATAAAGCAACGTAAAAGTTGTGTAATAAAAAGTTTTGTTCACTGAAAATAAAAAAGACAAGGCCTCTCTTAAATCCACTGAGACTTCCTGTAAACCTCCTAAAAAACCTTCCTGTTAACTTTATGAAAACCTCTAAATGTTCTGTAAAACGCACTGTAAACTTCGTGTAAAACTCCTTAAAACTACATGTAAACATCTTGAAAACTTCCTCTAAACTTCCTGTAAAACTTCTGTAAACTCACTGTACACATCATAAAAACTCCCTGTAAACATTGTGAAAACCTCCCCCTAATCCTTTTTTTTTCTTAATGTAAACTTTTTTAAAATTTGCTGCAAATAATGTGATAAGTGAAAACTTTCTCTAWACTTCCTGTAAATATCTTGTAAACAACTTGAAAACTACAGAAAACTTCCTGTAAACGTTCTAAAAGCATCTTGCAAACGTGTAAACTCCTGATAAAGCTTTTGTAAACTCACTGTAAAATTAATTCAAACCATCTTTAAATTCCCTGTAGACATTATGGAAAATGATTACAATTACTGTAAAATTACTGTAATATCTTATGAAAACTCTGTAAACATTTTTTACATTCTCTGTAAAAGTCTATAAAACAACTTAACTTCCTTTAATGCTCTTGTAAACTACCTAAAAACTTCATGTAAAATATCTGTAAAGTCCCTGTAACGTTTCCAAAAGCTTCTTGCAAACATCATGTAAACTTTTTGTAAACTTCCTGTGAACTCAGTCTGTTGCATTTGTACAAAAGTGAGTTGTGTTTCATGTGTTCCAGGGGAGGCAGTTCTCTCTGCGTGCCAGAAGGCATGTTCACTCATCGACATGAATGATCACTTGGGGGTCCACCCATGTTTGGGGGCCGTTGACCTTGTACCGATTTATCCCCTGGGGGAAGACGTGGGAGTGGAGATGTGCGCTCAGGAGGCTCAAGGTAAGACTTTTTAAAATTAATTAATTAATTTACAACAAATATTTCAGAGCAAGAAAATTTGGTGGGAGTGTGAGGACAGGTGCTGATTACCTTTCCCAAAAATGATAAGTATTAAGATATCTGTCTTGACATTTCAGCAAAGTGCTGTAATTAAGAATTTAACACGGGTTCATGTTTGATGAAAAAATGTTTTGTAAAGCCTCCAAGAGACTTTATCAGTCTGAGGAGTTTCAGGTAAACTCAGACTTTTAAGTTCTGCCTCCACATGGTGGACAAACAGGTTTAATTATGACAATCGACACTGTTCACATGCATAAGATGACATCAGCCTAACAATTGATTAAGTTCCTGATTATCCCTATTGTTCATAGAGGACCATCAGCCTAACAATCGATTGTTTGGACCCGGATTATCACTATTGTTCATAGATGACCATCGGCCTAACAATCAATTGTTAGGTTCCTGATTATCCATATTGTTCATAGAGGACCATCAGCCTAACAATCGATGGTTAGATTCTTGATTATCCCTATTGTTCATAGATGACCATCAGCCTAACAATCTATCGTTAGGCTCCTGATTACCCAATTGTTCATAGAGGACCATCAGCCTAACAATCGATTGTTTGGACCCTGATTATCACTATTGTTCATAGAGGACCATCAGCCTAACAATCGATTGTTAGGCTCCTGATTATCCCTATTGTTCATAGATGACCATTGGCCTAACAATCGATCGTTAGGACCCTGATTATCACTATTGTTCATAGAGGGCCATCAGCCTAACAATCGATGGTTAGGCTCCTGATTATCCCAGTTGTTCATAGAGGACCATGAGCCTAACAATATATCGATAGGGTCCTGATTATCCCTATTGTTCATAGAGGACCATCAGCCTAACAATTGATGGTTAGGTTCTTAATTATCGCGATCATTCATAGAGGACTATCATTCTAACAATCGATTGTTATGTTCCTGGTTATCCCTATTGTTCATAGAAGACTATCAGCCTAACAATCGATCATTAGGTTGATGGTCCTCTGTGAACAATAGGGATAATCAGGACCCTAACAAAAGATTGTTAGGATCCTGATTATTCCTATTGTTCACAGGGTCCTGAGTCTTACTAGCAATAACAGCACTGTAAGAGGGGGGACAACTGGACCTGGAGTCCTCCACCCATGTTTAATGATGGATGGTTTTTCTTCACAAAAAAGTCTTCCTTTACCCCTCTCTCCTTGTTTTCTGTTCTTACACAGACTAGGAGGGGCCTCACCTGGGCACAGTTTGTGGTCCAGAATGAGGTCATTAGTCTTGTCCTGCTCCAGAGTTTTCAGGACCTCTCTCACCTTGTAACCACTCCCTGGTTATGTTTTCAGCATGTGGTTGGGTCACTAAGGAGAGTCATACATTCTCACGGTGGTCTTTCTGGTTTAAAACCACTGATCTGTGTTTTGTTCCCTGTAAAATAATTCAGTCTTTACAGTTTGAAGTGTTGATGAGTCTAACAGCCGACTGAACCACATGTCCTGCTGATGGCGAGCAGGAGCTGAAGTGTTAATGATCTCAGTGTGAAAACAGATTTATAATTGGAAGTCAGGTCTGATGATGGTTTCAGGTGTTTCTGTCTCGGCTCAGCTGTAGCTCAGGAGCTCACAGAGAGGGTCCCGGGTTCCAGCGTCTTCCTGTTCGGCTGGGCGGACTCCCCCTTACGACGGGGGCTCGCCGTCAGGAGGAAGGAGATGGGCTGGTTCAGGAAGAACCCGGACCTGGAGGCCATCAGGCCCGACGTTGGACCAGAACCACAGAGGCGTTTCGGCCTCACAGGTGAGCTCAGATAATAAGCCACAGCAAGGGGCGGCGGCCATGTTGGATGTTTTCCCTCTCAGGAGGCGGATCTAAGTTCTGACCTGGTCATCAAGGTGTAAAAAAAATCCACAGAAACGGTTTGATTTTGATTTCCAGGCGTAGGAGCCGGTCCGTACGTCATGAACTGCAACGTCACCATCGACACCCGGGACGTGGCCCTCGGCCGCAGCGTGGCCGCAGCCATCAGGGGATCCACGCCCGGGGGCCTCCCTGGAGTCCAGGTGCTGGCGCTGCCACACGAGGGCGCCGTGGAGATCGCCTGCAACGTGGAGAGCATGGAAGGCCCGCCTCCGAGTCACCTGATGGACGAGCCCTGGCCGTGCTTCAGCGTCGACGGTCGGCCGTACTGCCACGCCCCCGCCGCCCTCATCGCYGCCAGGGTCGCCGAGCTGGCAGGAAGTCAGGGGGTGGGCGTGAGGGGCGTCGCCCTGGTGGGGTTCACCCCCCACGAGTGCAGGGACTTAGCGGAGTTGGCGTTGTCTCGAGGGATGGGTGAGTTTTGGAAACAGCAGGGCCGGATTCGGATGTGAAAACAAACTGTCGCTGACTCAGCGTTTATTCTGCCGACCTGATCCAAGCTTCTGGACTGAAACAACTTCAGAGAAATTTCAGCTGTTTCACCAGGTCATGTGTGAAAAAGTTTGGCTCATTCAGGACGATACAGCTCTGACCTTTAACCTACCTACATTTTTATTTTTTTAAACTGAAACGTAGCAAGGACTCAGTGAAAAGCTGTCCTTGTTTAGCTTCAGTTTTACGTAACTTTTAGATCATTTTAGCTTTTAGCTACTATTTTGCTAAAGTTAGATTTTAGCTGCTAGTTTGCCTGTTTTAGATTTTAGCTCATGGTTCACAGTTATCTTTAGCTGTTGTTTAGCTGTTAGGGTTCACAGTTTTATCTTTAGCTGATGTTTAGCTGTTAGGGTTCACAGTTATCTTTAGCTGTTGTTTAGCTGTTAGGGMTCACAGTTTAATCTTTAGCTGATGTTTAGCTGATGTTTAGGGTTCACACCATTATCTTTAGCTGATATTTAGCTGTTAGGGTTCACAGTTTAATCTTTAGCTGTTAATCTCAGTGATAAATGTCTCCTGACTGAAGGACAAGAACAGCTGAACATCTTTAAATAAAACTGGTCATTTTAAGCTGACGTTTCTTCTTTAACAGCTAAAGTATTTGTTCAGGCCCCTCCCCCCTCATGGATTGAAGTCCTTCATGTCTCAGAGTTTGTCTCATTTCCTGTTTTACAGTAAATACGATTCTTCTTGTTTACACGAGTTTCGGCTGATTTTCCCATCAGTTTTCAGTCGGCTTCTCCGGGCTGAGAGAGGTTCGGCTGTTTATCAAGTCTTCTGCTGACTAAAATCAACCTCGCTGAGAAAAGAGAAACTTTTTAATATCATATCTTTAACCTGTTAGCAAGGCTAACATTCTTGTTTAGCTGTTAGCTTCCACAAATTTTCATGTGTTTAATGGTTAATGTTAGCGTAGCGTTCTTGTTTTGTGGGTTAGTGGTCAGTGTGTCCACCAGTGGGTGTTTATTTACCAGTAAAAGTCATGTGTTTTCCTTCCCACACAAGTAGCTAAAATCAGAAGGACAGAGGCTGAATTTTAGCTGTTTGATTCTGGTTTCTGACGTTTTGTGAAACGAGTTTACCTCCGTGGATCAGCTCTTTGTGCTCCAGCTGAGGCTCTGAGTCACACAAGCAGTGCAGCCATTTAGCATCATTTTCTGCACACACACACACACACACACGCACACGCACGCGCACGCTCAGCCTGCCAGGCTCGGGAGCATCAAGGCCCAATCTAGGTCAGAGCGTGAGCCCGGAGGAGCTCGCTCCCATTCTTCATTTTACAGCTGAACTCAGGAGTTTCGGCGTCAAAAATTAAATTWATTTTTTCCTGATTTTGGTTTAAAAACAAACAAAATTTGAAGCTGATTTTAYATTTCTCCTGTTTTTACGATGAAATCTGGAGACTTTTAAAATAAATCCTTCTGGATGTTTTTGGGACTAAAAATAAATTTGTGTTGCAGCAGCTTATTTATTTTCTTTTCTATAAATATTCTGGGCTCCCCTCCCCCTCCTGTTCTCCCACGCCTCTCCTCCTCCTCCTCCTCCTCCTCCTCCTCCTCTCTGCAGAGGAGCAGAGGACAAAAACTGCTTTTTTTCTGCAGCTGCAGTTTTTTTAAGATGTTTATCTGTAAATAAGCGGAGCTGAGCCCAACATGCCCGGCGCCGTCCTCCCTGACCTATCAGAGTGAAGCGTGCCACCTATGAAGCCCCCCCCCTCCTGAACACATGTTCCACCTCCTCCGGGCGAGGAGGAGCAGCGAGGTGGAAGAGCGGCGGAGCGTCAGGAGGACAGAAATAGAGCGATGAGGAGGTGAAGCAGCAGCAGGAGGAGGAGGAGGGGTTCGGTTCTTCTAGCTGATCCGGTTCGGATGCCTCGCGGATCGGAGGGGGGCCACATCTGGAGGCCCGGGCGCCGCGATCCGCCACCCACACCGCCGCTTCGTTCGGAGGAAGGATGCGGCTCCGCGGCTGACTCCGCCGGCAGCCGTCTCCGTGGAGACCGTCGGGGTAAGGATGCTGCAGCCTCCCTCCTCCTGGAGGAGGTTCTGGGGTTTTGGATCAGAACCAGGTTGCGGGGACAGAAGCGGATGCCATGTTGTGTTCCAGCCTCCTGCAGCATTTCAGCATGAATTATTCATGAGCCTGGAGGTTTGGCAACAAGTAACCTGCTTCTGGAAAGTAGGTTAGGATGGTTCAGYAGGAGCAGAACCCGGTCCAGTCTTGGGAGGTTCTGTTGGGTTCTGAAAGGTTCTGTCTCCTGTTAAAGAAACTGTTTGATCCTTTTGTTTACCTGAAGGAAAAAAATAAAATCTGATGTTGAATTAAAACATGCAGCTTCAGATCAGACCGGGTCGGATCGGGTCAGCAGGTTGATCAGAACTCCATGACTTCCTGAAACAATCAGAGGTCAACAGAACGTCCATCGTTTTAAAGGGTCCATGACATCAAATTTTTGTCATAAATTTTAATTCATTTTTGGAAAGATAACGTTGATAACATGTTGCAAAACAAATTTCATGTCACTGAGACGAACGGTTGTTGAGATATTTGCAAGTGAAGAAGCAGGAAGTGATGTCATAGGGGAATATCTGCATGTAAACAGAGCGTTGATGAAAWGTCTGACAGACTGTAGAGAAGAATCTGATGTTCTTTAGATTATACTGAGTCTATCTGAGATGAAGAAGAGTCAAATTTCAAACTATGTTTCAATAAACAGATCAGAGTGGGAGCGTTTTCTTTCTTAAAGAGTTCCCCTCTGATGTCACTTCCTGTTTCATTTTGGCTGAGCTAAATCTAAAAGGAAATATGATGGTTATATGACAAAATGGGTAAAATCATGTACTATGCCAAGTTTCTTAAATATAAAAAGGATTTCTTTAACTTTGAATTTGAAGGATTTGCACGTCACAGACACATTATTTTACTCATTTGGACACATAACTGGCCTATTTTCTTTTGAACTTGGCTTGGCAAAAGGGAAACAGGAAGTGACATCAAAGGGGAACTCCTTTAAGAAAAAGAYCTCACTGCTCTTTGTTTATTGAAACATTATGATTTGAACTCTTTTGTTTGTTTCTGTCTGATAACGACTCAAAATAATCTAAAACATCTGATTCCTCTCAACAATCTGGGCTGTTGAGCATTTTAGCTTAGCTGTTTTCGTGCAGACATTCCCCTTTGACATCACTTCCTGTTACTTCACATGCAAATATCTCAACAACTGTTCAGCTCAGCAGCATGAAAATTATTTTGTAATATGTTCTCAGTGTTATCTTTCCAAAAATGCATTTGTATTTTTACAAAAGTTTTGATGTCATGGGCACTTTAAATATTTGTTGTTTAGTTTGAGCATTTTTCTTTGGCAGATTTTTAGGTTTATTACTCAGAAAATAACCTTGTAGATGTTTTACTAACAGACGGGTTTAATCACAGGGCGATAATGTTTGTTTATCTGTTGTGTTAGTAAAATATCTCCTGAGTTGACTTAACCAAACCATCCCACCTCCACCGCCATGCTTCACAGTTGAGCTGTTTGTGCTGCAGTGCATTCTGGGTAAACGTGGTGCTGCCATGACCTTTGACCTGCTGACCGAGGCTTGTAGAGTCTAAGGTGGAGCTCATTGCACGGTCTGACCTTCAGGGTGAAGAACGATCGACTCAGTGATCTTTGACCTTCTCAGATTGATGGTTTCCTCTCTGAGGTCATTGCTGATGTTGATCTGTGTCGGCATGGTGTTAATAGTAAAAAAATTGCGTTTAAAAACGTCGAACTGACGCTGAATTATATTTGGAGTTTGGATTATTTTTATTTTCTGTGATAAATAATCTGATATTCAGACAAATGTTGATATAAAAGTAGAGTTATTTGTTTATCTGTTAGCTCCAGGCTGAATCACCAGATGTTGATGTGATTCCTCAGGATCCACTTCCTGCTTCAAGGCTTCTATCCTACAAAATAAGAGCCTCAGGCATTTAGATTTGTTTAAACCAAACAAACAAACATCTCTAACATAAACACGATAAACAAATTTTATACAGCTTTTTAAAACTTGTTTTGGCAAAAATCTGATCATTTATGAGGAATATAAAGACTTTTGCACTAAATATATTAGAAACAAAGATTTTCCCAAAAATCTACGATCAAAACTAAGAATCTGTGCAGATGGTTTCTGCAGCATCATCTGGACCCACGGTTCTGTTCACACCATCACAGCGAGAAAAAAAAACAGCTTTGAGCCAAAAATATCTGAGCTGAGGACTATTTTTGGAAGGAAACCAAAGAGAAGCGTCAAATCTCCATGTTTGATTTGAAAATCCACTCAGATCAGGTTCAGACTGACTGAATTTAACGTTTTATTTAGATGTTTTCTGAACGTTTTTAAATAAACTTTATTGAGAAATTATATAATAATAATATATATTTACTGGTAAATATATTATTGAAATATTTAATTAAAACAATTTGATTGAAATATATTTGTTTGAATACAAGTTAAACAAGTTTAAAGCAGAAAAACCAAGTGGAATCTGCAGGACAGTGGTCCATGAAGACCAAGACCAGGTCCAACCCTAACCCAGGCCCAACTCCGCCTAACAACATGAGGACACCAGTGTCCCTCATGGAACCCTGTGAGACCATCAGTGTCCAACAGTTAGACTTGTAGTTTTCTCACTGCGACTGTTTGTTTGAGACTTTTTTCTACTCTGTGTTTCTACCTGTCTTATTAGGAGTGCTGTCAGACACATGCAGCTATGGTTTACCATGGAGACCATTGTGAGACACTGGCAGCACATTTCATTTACAATACTTACAAAAAAATTAATAAATAAATAAAATGACTTGTTTACTTAGATTACACATCCTGCTGTCCACAAACATGTTCTGTTGTCCTTGTTTTGGTCCTGTTGCCTTTGTTTTGGTCCTGTTACCCTTGTTTTGGTCCTGTTACCCTTGTTTTGGTCCTGTTACCC